CGGATTCGTGCCCCATTCTGCAAGAGGACGGGGCGGAACAGGTAAATATGACCGGAGGCGTGCCCGCGCCCCGCAGGCAGTATGACCCGTATTCCAACACATACAACCCCGGTTGGAGAGATCATCCCAATCTCAGTTATGGGAACAGGCAACAAGGTTCATTCCCGAATCGTCCACCAGGATTCCACCAGCCTTGGCAACCAAAATCTCAACCCTCATCCTCCAATTCAGGAAGCTCCTTGGAGGACATAGTCAAGAACCTGGCCACTACTACTACCAACCTGGTCACGACTACTACACAGCTTCAAGAGGAGATCAGATCCTTGGCCGCGAATACCGCGCAGCTCCAGCAGGACACCAAAGCTAACAAGAAGGACCAGAATGTTCGAATAAGTCAAATGGCAACTGCCATCAACCGCTTGGAGTCTCACGTTTATGGGAAACTGCCATCGCAACCCGAGGTAAATCCCAGGAATGTAAGTGCCATGACGCTGAGGAGTGGCAAGGAGTTGGAAGGGCCTAAAGTGAAAAATTCAAAAAGCAAAAGCGAGGAGGAGATAGAAAAGGAAATCGAGGAGGAAGGACGTGTTCGTGAGGATCCTAAGGTAACTTCCACCTCTCCACTCACTATTAGTTCTAACTTACCCCCTTTTCCTTGCAGGTTGGAGAAGACAAAGAAAGTAGAGAAGGAAAAGGAACTTTTGGATGTATTCAGGAAAGTAGAAATTAACATCCCCCTGTTGGATGCAATCAAGCAGATACCGAAGTATGCTAAATTTTTGAAGGACTTGTGCACCCACAAGAGGAAGTTAAGGGGAGATGAACGAGTGGCGGTGGGAGAAAACGTGTCAGCTATGCTCCAGAGAAAGCTCCCACCAAAATGCGGAAACCCAGGTATGTTCACTATTCCCTGCAAGATAGGAGGTACTCCCATTAGAAAATCAATGTTGGATTTGGGGGCGTCAATTAATGTTATGCCTAAGACAATTTATGCATCTCTAAATCTTGGCCCGTTAAAAGCCACAGGCATCATAATCCAACTTGCAGACCGTACTAATGCTTACCCAGAAGGGTTAGTTGAAGATGTTTTGGTACAGGTCAATGAGTTAGTTTTTCCTGCAGATTTCTATGTCCTAGACATGGGGGATGAAAGGGCACTAAATCCGTCTCCTATTCTGTTAGGTAGGCCATTTTTAAGCACTGCTAGGACGAAAATAGATGTAAATGAGGGTACTTTGTCGATGGAGTTTGATCGAGAAATTGTAAATTTTAATATTTTTGAAGCGATGAAGTACCCAGATGAGACTAACTCTGTCTATGCTTTAAGTGTTGTCAAGCCCCTTGTGCAGGAAATATTTGAATTGGATGGGGTTGATGCACTGGCAGTGGCATTAGCCAAACATCTTGAGTTGGGAGCAACTCCTGATGTAGAATTGAGCGATGAGTTATACCGGGCTGTTGGAGCACTGCATTCGCTCCCACCAATTTCTCCAAGGTATGAACTTACTTCTGTTTTTGTACCAGAAATTCAGGCAAAATTGCTGCCTTCTATTGTGCAGGCGCCTGAGTTGGAGCTCAAGCCCCTCCCAAAGCATTTGAAGTATGCTTTTCTCGGGGACAATGAGACACTGCCAGTCATCATATCTGCACACCTGTCACCAGGGCAAGAAGACAGACTAATTCGTCTTCTTCGAGATCATAAGGAGTCGATTGGGTGGAGTGTAGCAGATATCAAAGGAATTAGCCCCTCCTTATGCATGCATCGGATCCGGCTTGAGGATGATGCAAAGCCAGTTAGACAAGGGCAACGGAGATTGAACCCACTAATGATAGAAGTGGTCAAAAAGGAGATACTTAAGCTCCTAGAAGTGGGGATCATCTTCGCCATCTCAGATAGTCCCTGGGTGAGTCCGGTGCAAGTAGTCCCGAAAAAGGCGGGAGTAACAGTTGAAGAGAACCAAGGGGGTGAGATGGTCCCGGTGAGGAAACCCACAGGATGGCGCCAGTGCATTGACTATCAACGTCTGAATGCTGTGACAAAGAAGGACCATTTCCCTCTACCTTTTATTGATCAGATGATAGAAAGGTTAGCTGGCCGTGTCTATTATTGTTTTCTTGATGGTTTCTCTGGTTATTTTCAGATCGCAATAGCACCAGAGGATCAGGAGAAAACTACCTTCACCTGCCCCTTTGGTACATTCGCCTACCGGAGGATGCCTTTCGGCCTCTGCAACGCCCCAGCAACTTTTCAGAGGTGTATGGTAAGTATATTCTCTGAGTATGTAGAAAAGATTATTGAGGTGTTTATGGATGATTTTAGTGTGTATGGAGACAGTTTTGATGAATGCCTTGATAATTTAGCTTTAATTTTGAAAAGATGCATTGAGACAAATTTGGTTCTAAATTGGGAAAAATGTCATTTCATGGTGGATCATGGTATTGTTCTAGGGCATGTAGTGTCGGCCAGAGGTATAGAGGTAGACAAGGCAAAAGTCGATATTATTTCTGCTCTACCTTACCCCGCAAGTGTGCGGGAGGTGCGCTCCTTTTTGGGTCATGCAGGGTTCTACAGGAGATTCATCAAAGATTTCTCCAAAATTGGAGCGCCCCTGTTTAAGTTGTTGCAAAAAGATGTAGCATATGACTTCACCGAAGAGTGCAAGGTGGCATTTGACAGGTTGAGGGAGTCATTGACATCACCACCTGTTATCCAACCTCCAGACTGGAACCTCCCATTTGAGATAATGTGTGACGCAAGCGACTATGCAGTGGGAGCGGTGCTGGGACAACGTATAGGCAGAGCTGCACATGCAATCTACTACGCATCGAAGGCGTTAAATGGAGCTCAACTCAACTACTCTACAACAGAAAAAGAATTGCTAGCTGTGGTTTTTGCACTAGAAAAATTTAGACCTTACTTGTTAGGTGCAAAAGTGATAGTTTTTTCTGATCATGCGGCCTTGAGATATTTGATGACAAAGAAGGATGCTAAACCAAGACTTATCAGATGGATCCTGCTCCTTCAAGAGTTCAACTTGGAGATTAAAGATAAAAGTGGGGCAGAAAATTTAGTTGTTGATCACTTGAGCCGCTTGCTTGCTCATAAGGAGGAGCCACCATTGAGGGAGGCATTTCCAGAGGAACAATTACTTGCTGTGAACGCGTCTGTACCCTGGTATGCCGATTTAGTAAATTTCTTGGTGACTAATCAACTGCCTGCAGGGTGGCCAAAGGCCAAGAGAGACAAGTTGAAGAGTGATGCTAAATATTACATTTGAGATGACCCGTACCTTTGGAGGCAATGTTCGGATCAAGTGCTCAGGAGGTGTGTAAGTGCAGGTGAATTCCACTCTATTTTAACTTTCTGTCATTCGTTTGCATGTGGAGGGCATTTTGGGCCCAAGCGAACAGCTCGCAAAGTGTTAGAGAGTGGCTTTTACTGGCCTACCCTGTTCAAATATGCTTATTTGTTCTGTAAATCCTGTGATAGGTGTCAAAGGGTGGGGAATATTTTTCGTAGGGACCAAATGCTTCAAACCCCCATGTTGTTTGTTGAAATTTTTGATATTTGGGGGATAGATTTTATGGGTCCTTTTCCCTCATCTTTTGGTTTCCTGTACATTTTACTTGCTGTAGATTATGTCTCTAAATGGGTGGAAGCTAAAGCCACCCGTACTAATGATTCTAGAGTGGTTGCAGAGTTCTTAAAGTCTAATATTTTTGTCCGCTTTGGAATGCCAAGAGCTGAAATTAGTGATAGAGGGACACATTTCTGCAACAAGACTATCACTGCCTTGTTTCGAAAATACGGTGTACTCCATAAGGTATCCACACCGTATCACCCGCAGGCAAACGGTCAGGCCGAAGTGTCAAACAGGGAAATCAAGTCGGTCTTGGAGAAGATGGTGTGTCCGGATAGGAAGGATTGGAGTTTAAAGCTAGAAGACGCACTATGGGCTTATAGAACCGCGTATAAGACGCCGATTGGGATGTCTCCGTATAGACTTGTCTTCGGTAAGGCTTGCCATCTCCCCGTGGAGTTCGAACACAAGGCGTTTTAGGCAGTGAAGCAGTGTAACATGGGATTAGATGAAGCAGGGGTCCAAAGGAAATTGCAGCTACAAGAGTTGGAAGAAATAAGAAATGAGGCGTATGAGAATGCCACGATCTATAAAGAAAAGAGTAAAATCTTTCATGATCAGCAGGTTTCTAGGAAAACTTTTGTAGTGGGGCGAAAGGTCCTCTTGTATCACTCAAGGCTTAAACTTTTTCCCGATAAGTTGCGTTCTCGTTGGATTGGTCCATTTGTCGTTTCTAATGTGTTCCATTATGGTGCAGTGGAGATCCAAAGTTTAAAAACGGAGAAAAAGTTCGTGGTGAATGGCCATCGTCTCAAACCTTATTATGAGGGTTTCTATGTTGAAGAAGTAGAAGTTGAACACCTCCAAGATCCACTTTATCATTCTTGAGGGTTTTGGCCATGTCTAGCCAAAGACATTAAAGAAAGGCGCTACTTGGGAGGCAACCCAAGACTATTTGTTTTAGTTTTCGTGCATTTTTGAAGTTTTAGTTAAGTGTTAGTGTCAATTAATGGTTTGATGTTTGGTGGCAGGGAATTAGCAGTTAGGCGTGCCCACGCCAGGTGGTCACGCCTGATGGAGGAAATTTACGCTCAGGTTCTGCGACCTACATAGCAGTTAGACGTGCCCACGCCAGGTGGTCACGCCTGAGGGAGGAAATTTTCGATCAGGTTCTGCGGACTCTAGGGCAGTTGAACGTGCCCACATTAGGTGGTCACGTTAAAAAAAAAAAAAAAAAAAAAGTGAAAAGACGAAATTGCCCTTATTGTTATTATAAAAAAAAAAACACTTCCGCAGCCCTTCTTCTTTTCTTCCTTTTTTCTTTCTTTCTTCTTTCTTCTTCCTTTTCTTTCTTTTTTTTCTTCTTCTTCTTCCTTCTTTTCTCCTTGTCCGCCGCAACTCCACTGCCGCACGCCGCCAATGCACGATCGCACGCCGCACGCCGCCGCTCCTCGCTGCCCGCCGCTCGAACGCAGCAGCCCAACACCACAGCCGCAAGATCGGCCGCCGCCCATCGCGCCGCCACTCCTCAATCCACCCCAGCGCCCAAAGCGAGCTCCGCGCGAGCTCCAGCTTCCATCGCGCGCGGCCTCTCGGTCTGCACAGCTGCCCCCTGCGCGACTCAGCCCAGCAGCGGCCAGCAGCTCAGGCGCAGCCCGCATTCCCCGCTCCACTCCAGCGCAGCCCTCCGCACAGCAGCGCGCCTTCCTTCTCTGCGCCCAAGCCCAACAGCCCAGTAGCCGCAGCAGAACCAGCGAGCAGCAGCTGCAGTCGCGGCCTGCAGAAACCGCGCGCGCAGATTGCCCCCTTGCACGCGACCTCAAGCCAAGCTCCAGCGCGCCACTGAGCGCGGCCTCTGTGCAGTCTAGCAGCGCCGCACGCCACATCGCGCGCCCATCAGCAGCCTGCCGCACGCCAAGCCAGCCTCCTGCAGCCCGCGCGCGCGAACCAGCTGAGCCAGCAGCACAGACCACCTCTGCTCCATACTTCACCAAACCCACTGCCTACTCCAAACCTCCGGTGATTTCTTTTTAAATTTCTGTCCCTAATTAGCTGAGGCCAGATTATTAGTTCCAATTAGCTGAGGACAGATTTTAAATTGTTAGCTGCGGCCAGACATTTTTGTGGTTGAATTGAGTGCTGTGATATTATCTGTGGTTGGTTGACGACTATTTGTCCAATTTTGGGGTGGAATCTGAAGTAATTGGGGAAAATTTCATTGTTTCCATGTTTAATTAGTTTTTGGGTGAAGTTTTTATGTGTTCATCTACTTAATTGATTTTTGGGCTGTTTAGTTTCTATTTGTTCAATTGTTGGTGTGTGGAGCTGTGTTCAGGGACCCCTTACCTTGTTGATTAACCACCACTCCATTTTTACCCAAATTCACCTTGACTTTGCCCTCTTTTTTCCAATCCCCAATGACTAAACCAAAAACCAAAGGCAAGAACAAGCCTTCCACTTCATCCCCTCAGCCTACGGTCCCCTTAGAGGGACCTGCCCCATCGACTGGGCCTGGAGGGCCCCGTACCCGCCTTGGCCGGAATAGGGAGGTTCATATCTCCTCTCCGGCCCATTTTGGCGGTAATTTGACATTCACCCGGGCTGCCGACAAGGAGCGGTATGCTTCGGCTTGTACAAGGAAGATAATTCCTTGTAAATACATCCATGGCCCTACACTTGATTTGCTAAACCTGAGGGATGAGGTCACGCAGCACTTGACTAATGTGGGTTGGACCCGCTATGCTTCTATCAATCTACCTGCTTTTACTGAACTCACGTGGGAATTCTATGCTACCTTTGAATTTAATATCCCTGATGAATTCTCCGTTACCACTCCTGGGGTAGTGAGGTTTCGATTAATGGGTAGAGAGTTCAACCAGTCTATCACTGAGTTTAATTTGGCTCTTGGGTTTATTGATATTCCTTACTCTCAGAGTGAGGAGTATATGCACAGTGCGTGTGAATACACGGAGCCATTTTTCTCTCATTACCTTGATTATTGGAGTGGTTTGTCAGTTGACCAGCAATGCTATGACCCCAGTCAGTCTAAGGCATCTTATCTTAAGAGCGCCGCCTACCGCTATTTACATAGATTCATGGCCTATAGTTTCTCAGGTAGGAAGGATAGCTCGGGTACTCTGACTAAACCCGAGTTCTTTTTCGTTTGGTGCATGGTAACTAAGACTAGGGTCAATTTAGGTAACTGGTTTGCCCTCCACCTACGAACTGTGCTAAGTAAGAAAAATAAACCATTAATCTTAGGCTCATTTATCACTCAGTTGGCTGTCAATCTTGGGGTTTCGGACTTAAATAATCATAACTTGCATCGTGCTTGTATTATGGAGCCCCTTGATTTGGTTTGTTTGGAGAAAATAGGTCTTGTGAGACAGGTTAATGGCGCTTTCCAGTTTGCCCCCCCGGGGCCAATCTCCGTTCCTCCGAAGCGCAAAGCTTCCAAAGCCACCGCCCCGGAGGCTGGTGGTCCATCCACGGATGCCCCCGGACCATCCTCTTCGGCACCTCCACCGTCTTCGTCCGTCGATAGCCAACTTGCAGCCCTCCGGTTCCAGATGCAGCACATGGATACTCGGATGGATCGGATGGAGCGTCAAATGGGCGGGATGGCCCAGAACATAGCGCAGTATCTCCATCACGTGGGCTTCCGCCCGCCTTTTCCTCCTCAGCCGTGATTCATTTCTGCCCTCCTCCGTTTTAAGGGAAGTGTCGTTGCCCCAATACCTCTGATTTGGTCTTACTTTGCTTACATTGAGGGCAATGTAAGGTTTAGGTGTGGGGGAGGGTTGACTATGCTTTGGTTGTGTTTTTAGTTATCTGATTAAATTTTTTTCCCTTGCCTTAGTAGTTCATTTCTTTAAACTGTGATGAATGCAACTTGAGATATGAGCGTACATAGTAAGTTCATGCCATAGGGTGGTCTACTTTCCTTGATACTGAATTGATTGATTAATATGTTGAGCTTGACATAAATTTGATCACTTGTGCGATTTTTGGGCCTAATTTTTCGTTTTGTTGAGTGATTAGTGCACATGATTTGTCATTCTAGAACTTGCTCGGTTATGCATATCAAGACCACATTTAAATGAGTTTAATGCATTGAAATGATAGGGCACCTAGGAATGAGCCACTTTTGGACCTTCTCAAAACCAACCCTTGGATTATTTACTACAATTAGGGAGCCAAGTTGAGCTTTACATCCTATTCTTCGCTTGAGACCCTAGTTTTTAGCCGAAAAACCTCTTTTTAGACTTCCTATTTGAACCTCGTGTGAAGAAGTGCTCTGATTTCGTTATACAGAATTTTGGTGTATTATTCGGGAGGCATTACACCCATTTATGAAAAAAAAGAAAAAGAAAACAGAAAAAAAGGGGATGTGAAAAGAAGAAAGAGTGCAGGAAACCAGCAAGTAAATCATGGTGCTGGTTCGGAGCTCTCGTAAAAAAAAAAAAAAAAAAGAGAGAGGGGAAGTCGATGAATGAAAAGATTCACTTGTGTGGTGGTTGAGATGCCTTTAAATTTCAAATGTGCAAGAATCTATGTAATGAATTTCTGGGCACTTTCTTTACACTTTTGCACCCTTTTGACTCCTTTTAATCCTACCTTCTCACCCTAACCCCATTACAACCTTGCAAAGCCCCTTGATTGCTACATTTAAATTCATGAGCAAGTGGTAGAGATATGATATATGAGCAAGCTTATGGTAGTGTCATTCTATTGTGTTGATTTGAGAGCCAATACATTTCATATACACTTTGGAGTGAATGAGTGCACTTTGAACTGTGAGTATTGTTAATTTGGTATATTCTGATTTCGATGAGGTTATTGGGAAATTTGGGATGCCGTTTCTGGTATGAACTGCTGTGATTAGCTTCGTATCTTGAGTGTACTTCTGAGTTAATTATGCTTGAGGGCAAGCATAGTTCAGGTGTGGGGGAGATTGATAGGTTGCATTTTAGTGGATATTTCGGGCATTATTGCACAATTAATTGACTAAATATTTTCGTTAATTGGGCGGATTCTATTGATATTTTGTTTTGGTGCTAATTGTAGGAATGGTTGCTGAAAAGTGCTTAAATTCAACTTTTAGAAGATTCATCGGACGTGGGGTCCGCTTGAGAAGCTGAAGAAGCCTAATTGTAATAGATTTTATTTTAATATATTTTAGGGAGTCTGGCTGCAATTTTGGACAAGTAACAATTTCCGGCTATTGGGGATACTATTTATCTCTCGCGCGGCTTAGGTTAGGGAGGGTTCTTTTTCTCTTTGTTTTGGTTTTTCCTTGGCTCAAGAAAAAAGGACACTGTGTGCCGCAGCCTGAGGGAGAGAAAGACAGAGGACAGAAGCCATTATTGTTGGCTTGTGAGCAACCAACTCTTGATGTTTTGCTTTTAACTATCTTTGACCAAGAAATCAAGCAATTGAAATGGTTTCTCGTACGCTTGCATAACACAAAATACAAAAGAAAGAAAGTAAGGCAGCCGCAATTGTTGACTTGTTCCCTTGCTTTCCTAACTTAAGCAAATTGATAGAAGACAAAGCCATTAAAAAGCAGAGCAGTCCCTCTGGTACGCCTGGTGAGAAAGAAAGGCAGGAGAAAAAGGTGAATATCGCATGACCGCGTAGGCCACTCTAGGAAAAAGCAACAAAAGATCCGATCTGGCAACTTTCTCCAATCATCCACGCGCCGCTTGCTCTTCATTAATGGAGGGCTAATTCTCCAATTCTAGTCAAGGGGGCAACTGACGAATTGGTTCATCGATTACTGTGAGATCTAACTCATTCTTTAGTATTTTTTCTCATTTATTGGTATTTACATATTTCCTGTTTCTAATTGTTATAGCCTTATGCATGATTGATTAGTGCGCAATAATTAATTGTTTATATAGGCTATTTTGCTATATAGGGGTAATTGAATCCGTAATCGTTCGTTACCTCTATCCCAGTAGCAACTGGCACAATTGGATTTGTGTCAGGGGAATATTTGATCTGGCTTGAATGAACCCTCGTAGCGTGTTTGTTAGTCAGGATTGGACCTTTCTAATTATTAATGCAATCTGGAAATTAAATCCTACGGTCGTACCTAGGGTTGTTCTTGGGTTAGAGAAATAGCTAACGGTCGTACCTTAGCTATCGAGAAATTAAGGAAGGGTTGGTTGTTTAACGCGTGCGAGACAACTATAACCAATCTATTAATAAATGTTGGAATTATTTTTGCATCAATGATCAGTGCATGAACCATTTCTGAAGTGTACCCTTGGCTAGAGTTTCTCTCATTTATTTCTTTTAATTAATTATTTTCTGCATTTAATTTGTTTAGTTGGCTTTTGATACCAAAACCCCCCCCATTACTCTTGATTTGGAAAGAAACAAATATCTCTCCAGTCCCTGAGGAGACGACCCTGCTTACCACTATCTACTAGTTAGGGAATTCAGTTAAATAATTAATTCAGGTATATCGGATTAAGCAAACTCTTCGGGAACAGGGTGAATCAAGTAACCCATTGCACACCTAGAGTCCCTGCTCCAGTACTCGAATTGATTACTGACTGTTTCAGGTGGTAGTTAGGATTCATTTATTATTATTGCACAGGTTCGGTACCTGTCATTTAGTCGAGTTAGGTAAGTGCGATAAAGTACACACTCACCTAAGAAATGACAAATCAAGTGCCTAACAATTTTAGCAACAAGTAGCATGGAACATGCAGTTGGAACACTTACTAGTTCAAACAGAACAACGTTAAACGTTCGACTCCAAGTTATTTGCGTATTCACTGTCAAACCCTAAGAGTAACCAAGATAAAATATTATGAACCAACCATTCAAAACTTAGGTGAACGAAGTTCACATGTTAGACTCAACTATGAGCGATACACCTATCCAAGTTGGCCTCTCAAAACACAAAGTTCAAAGACAAATTTGAAAGTGTAAGTCAAGGAAAATCCAAGTGCATTCTAGGGCAAAGATTCAAGTACGGTTTTGGAGTGGAATGAGAGCATTTGGACCTAAGAAACATGAGC